ACTCAGGAGGCAGAGGCAGGTGGATCTCTGTGAGTTCAAGGCCAGCCTGGTCTACATAGTGAGTTCCAGGACAGCTGGAGTTACAAGGAGACCCTGTCTCAAAGACCAAAAAATAAATTTTTTAAAAAGGATTTACTCATTTTAATGTATGTGTGTATACATGAGTGTTTGCATGTGCCTCATGCCTGTGCAATGCCTGCGGAGGTCGGAAGAGGGTGTCAGATCCTCTGGAACTGGAGTTACAGGCAGTTGTGAGCCACCTGATATGGGTGCTGGGAACTGAACTGGGGTCCTCTGGAAAAGCAGCAAGTGCTCTTAACCACTAAGTCATCTCTCCAACCCCCATACCCCTCTTTTTTTTTTTTTTTTTTAAATAGCATCTCATGTAGGCTGGGCTGGCTTCAAATTCTCTACACAGCCAAGTATGACCTTAAACTTCTGATCCTCCTGCATCTTGCTTCTTCCATCCTGGGACTTGAACCCAGGGTTTACTTTTATTTATAGCTAAAATTATGTAGTATATGGATATACTACATTTCATTCAGGTGTTGGTAAACAACTTGGGTTGTTTCCAGTTTTTGACTAAACGATGCTGCTGTCTGCCATTCATTCCTGCTTGACTCTGGTCCCAATACCTGCTTCTCTGTGCCCCAATTTTCTCATCTTAAAACAGAAACATTACCCCCTGCTGATCAGGGTTGGGTGAAGCACAGAAGAGACAAGATGACAGCCATCCTAGGTGCTGTGCAGAGGCAATATTACTCTCCCTGCCTCCAACTCCCACTGCCTGGGAGACAGCCTTGGAAAGCACTGGGCCTGGTGTGGGAGTCTGGGCCTGGCCCTGGAGGCAGCTGTTTCTCTGGCTGGTCTCAGCTTCCTGCTGCCACTCTGATCTTTGGGTCAGCAGCAGGTGGCAGGCAGTGATGAGGATTAAGCAGTTGCCTGTCAGGGAGAGGCCTTCCCAGTGTCCCACTCAGCAGCCAGAAGATAAGCTAGGAAGACAGGCTGCAGACCTCAGCACCGAAGCTGATCAACATTATTGACCTGTGAAAAGGGAAAAAGGGAGAGGGAAAGGCAGGCAGCTTGGGAACCATCGAGACTGATTTATTGGTTAATTAGTCATTTCTACAGCCACAGACTTCCCTAGCTGTGGATGGGGATGGGGGTGGGGGCAGCGGTCAGCTGGGGCCCAAGTGTACTCAGTGTCTCTTTTGAGATGGGAACACCACAGGGTTCAGGGAGCTCTGAAGTATCTAGAACTTCCAGTCAGGTGTGGGGAACAGGAGAGTTGCAAATTAGGAGATGTAAAGCAGGCCAAAGGATGTAAATGGTAGAGCACTTGAGTTTGATCCCTGAACCACAAAAACAAAGAAGAATGAGACAAAGTAATGGAAACTGAAGAGGCTCCAAGGTACAGAAGGTAGGCCATTTAGTAAAAAAGTTAGCCATGGACTTGAACACAGCCTCCACCAAGTGCTAGCTGTGTGATCTTGGACATGTCACTCATTGCTGACTCTTGATTTCTACTTCTGTAAAATGGGGCTAGTCTTGCAACATTGTACCCTATCAGGTACACAGTGAGCTTTGGAAATATTTGCTATTATAAACTGTTTGGACAAGTCAGAACTGATGGGGTGTCTGAAATCCCAGCACTTGGGAAGACGAGGGAGGATCAGAAGTTCAAGGTTATCCTCAGCTACTTAGCCAGTCCAGAAAAGGGCCTAATCAAAGATGGTGAAGAGGCAGAGCCTAGAAGGCACCTACCAGATGGATGAGAGGAGGGACTATTCTGCCAGATTGGCTTTGGACAGGGCCTGAGGCTGTGTGCTTTGAGGGACTGTGTCTAGGTGGGTGGACTCATGTTCACCGCCCAAGTGTCCCCTGGATTGGAACCTCAACTCTCCCCCTGCTCTCCTTGGACAAATCGCTACTCTGAGTGCTCCTCCAGGATCCCTTAGTTCAGTGGCATCCTGTGACCAGGAAAGTGGACAGACTGACAGCAGACAAGAGTCCAGGCAGGCGCGGTTTAGTGCGGTCCTCGGGTGGACAGCGCTCGTCCAGCCTCTCCACGTCGCAGGGGCTCCCCTGTGGGCTCCACACCCCTAACGCGAGGCCGGGCATCCCCAGGGCAGCCGGCTGGACCTGAGGACGCTGGCCCGACGCGACGGAGAGCGCGACGTGCGCCCGGGAGCCAGCCGGTGCGGTGGTGGCGGTGGCGGCGATGGCCACAGGGCCACAGGCGGCGGAAGCGCGCGCGGAAGTGGCGCGAGGCGAGCGCGTAGACCAGCGGGTTGAGGCAGGAGTTGGCGTAGGCGAGGCAGTGCGAGGCCAGGCGGCAGGCATAGGTGGCCGGGCTGAAGGCGAAGCGGCCGAACCAGAAGCAGAGGATGAGCGCGTGGTGCGGGCCCCAGCACAGCGCGTAGAGCGCGGCCACCGCCAGCATGGCGCGACCTGCGCGGCCCGTCGCCCGTCTGCGCGCCTCGGCTGCCACAGCGCCCGCGGGACCCACTGCGGCCCACAGGAAGCGCAGCGTGCGTCCGTAGGCCAGGCTCACCACGGCCACCGGTAGCAGGTAGCCCGCGGCGAAGGTGGCCACGTCCAGGGCGCGCCGGCGCGCGTCCTCCCAGGCCGGCACGCAGAGCTCGAGGGCGCCGTAGCGCACCGTGCCATAGTAACTGAGGTAGGGCGCCGAAAAGAGCGCCGCCAGCAGCCACACCAGCCCCACCGCGGCGCGCGCATTGCGCGGGGTGCGCAGGGCCCGAGAGCGCAGCGGGTGGAGCACCGCCAAGTACCTGCGGGGCGGAAGGGCAAGCGGATCAGTGGGCGGAGCCTTCTGCCCACCCGCGCCTGCATCCCAGCATCCAAGCATCCCTGTATATCCGCCCCTCCCAGGCGCATCCCGCCGCCCCCACTGCCTTGATTTCCCCTATGCTTGACAAGGGCCCAAGAGAAGTGACTGCCCAAGGTCTGAGCTAGGGATGAGCCTGGGCTCCGCCTCGGGTTCAAGTCACAAGCCACTAAAGCAGAGGATGGAAAGATGGCTTAGCTAAGAGCACTGGCTGTTCTTGCAGAGGATCCCCAGATGTGGTTCCCAGCAACTACATGGCAACTCACAACTGTAACTCTAGTTCCAGGGGATTCAATGCCCTCTTCTGGCCTCTACGGGCATTGCATGCACATGATACACATACATACATGTAGGCAAAACATTCATACACATAAAGAAAAGCTGGGTGTGGTAGCCCACACCTTTAATCCCAGAACTCAGAGTTCAAGGCCAGCCTGGTCTACATAGTGAGTTCCAGGTCAGCTGGGGCTACAGGAAGACCCTGTCTCAAAAAGATCAAAAATAAATAATTAATTAATAAGAAGAAATCACGCCACAGAACAGATGTGAGCACCATGTGGGCCAGGTGTGGAGAATTAGCAGCAGAGGAATGCATTGTTTCTTTTGCTGTCCATTTCACACTTAGACCAGGCCCTGTGCTGACACTCAAGGCACAGAAATGTCCTCTGGAATTTCACAGTGGAAGTGGGAAGGAGGACAGGATGGTTCTGAGGCGTGCCCTCAGATGTCCTGAGGTTGGTTCCAGGAGCCCATAGCTGTCCTTTCTTCTTTCCCACCAACCTCTGGTCCCCATTCTCTCTTTCCTTGGCCTATGAGACTCTGTCCAGGTCTTCCCTCTCCAGTCTACCCCAGGTACAGCTCACCTGTCCACTGAGACAGCAGCCAGGGTGAAGCTGCTGGCATACATGGTAAGGTAGATGAGCAGGTGCACAGCCTTACAGATGAAGGCCCCAAAGAGCCAGGCATCCAGAGTGTAGATGGCAGCCTGGAAGGGCACGCAGCACAGGATGAAGCAGAGGTCTGCAATTGCCAGGTTGAGGATGAACAGATCTGTGGTGCTGCCTAGCTCCTGCCAGGCACTTGGGCCAGGCTGCAGCAGCACAGCCAGCACCAGTCCATTACCCACCATGCCCAGCAGGAAGATGAGGGCGAAGACCACAGGCACTGCCACGGCCCCTACATTCCCTGGACTATCCAGCGAAATGTTCTGGGTGTCAGTCATCTTCCCATCAGATAGGCACCTGGAGAAGAGAAGCTGGGTCCTCAGGCAGGAAATGCAAGTTCCAAGTACATGACCCAGGTGCCTGGTTCTCCCAACCTGGGTCTGACCAGATTTCCTGGGCTGGAAAGCTCATGGATGGAGGAGGGGAGAGCAAAGCCAAAAGTCACTGCTGAGTACTGTATGAGCCAGCACTTGGCGCAGTAACACTGATGTTTGTATGTGAGGCTGCCACTCCTTGGTTTCCTAGGGAACACCTTTGTAACCCAAAGCACAGAAGGCTGTTTGGGTCACTCTTGACTTCTAAGGCACATGAAGATACAGGCAGAATAAAATGAAGATGTGGCAGATGGGGGAGGGGCAGTATCAACGGAAGAAGTTGGTTTCTTTTTTTTTGTTTTGGTCTTTTTGAGACAGGGTCTCCTTGTAGCCCCAGCTGTCCTGGAACTCACTATGTAGACCAGGCTGGCCTTGAACTCACAGAGATCCGCCTGCCTCTGCCTCTGCCTCCTGAGTGCTGGGATTAAAGGCGTGTGCTACCATGCCTGGCTTATTTTCCTTTTTAACCAGGGTCTGGAGTTCAGGAGAGTCCCTTGGATTTGGGGACTTTCTCTTGCTACAAGCTATACCTGTGACATCCCTGAGTCATCGAAGAGCCCATTCTCATGAGAGCACCCAAGGAAGCCAGGAAGACCAGAGAAGTCACTACCTCTGCTTTGCACATAGAGATATGGAGGCCCAGCAAGGGGCTGTGAATGGCCAATATCACACCTTGGGTCACAGACTTGGAGCTGCAGTGACCCTGACTCCTAAGGCTGGAGTGCTTATCTGAAAGACTAACAGGTGGTGCCTCTGACAACTCGCGTGTGTGCACGTGCATGTTTACACACTGCCAGTTTTCATGCTTGTGCTACCCCACAGTTCACAACCTGTAGATCCCCCCCACTCAGATCACTGGGGCAGTGGGATGAATTAGGAGCAGGGGGGCTGGGAGGCAGGGAGGAGGGAAACAAGGTGAAATCTGCCCCCACCCACCACCCCACATGCAGCAGGCCCCAAGCGCAAGATGGGCAGCACCCACCTGAGCCCTGGGCACTGGGCCCCACATGCCCTCTGGTGGAATGGCCAGGCTGGGGCTTCTGTTGGCTCAGCTGCTGCCCCCGTGCCTCCCTGCAGGTATGACTCTGTCCTATTTCTCCTTCTTCGCCTTTAAGGCCCCTCCTCTCCTCGCCTCTCCTCTGCCCCCAGCTGTCTGCTGAGTTGGATATGGGCACTCCCTCTGGAGTGGCCACTGGCCACCTCCTCCTCAGTCCCTGATTTCCCCGGGGGGTGGCATGCTCTTCTGCCAGCTCTCCTCTGCCGCCTCTCTGTGTTGTTGCTGCCTCATTCTTTTTCACTGGCAGTAACCCATTGATCTCACTCTAGGAGACTGGCTTTGCAGTTAACCCCTCCATGCCCAGGGCTCAGCCAATTCCTGGCACTCCCACCTCCTGTGGCCCTGCCTATGGCTCCACCCGGATCAGCCCCCTTCCCTGCACCAAGTAGGGTTCCCCTCTAAGCTTAGACAGGATTTCTAGCTTTAAATGGAGTTTCTGAGGCTGGGAAACAAGAACACATTCTCTCTTTGCAGACTTCAGGTAGAAACCTGTACCTCAGGTTGTGAATCCCTGAGATCCATTTTCTTTCCTCAGCTTGTTTCAGCAGCTAAATCTGCTGGAAACCTGTCCCAGTTTAGCCTGAAGGTCACCCAGGGGTTTGGGGGTCAGGGGGCGAGAGGGAGAGATGGGGAGGGAGAGCTAGTCAAAGTTCTAGAGCTCCAGAGCTCCGACATGACTTGTGGATTTCATTTTGTAGGAAGTTTATTATGGCCTAAGGTGAAAAGAACAGAGGGAGAGATTTGATGGCTGACCTGTTGAGAGCCTCTTTCCCGGGGCAGGAGCCAAATAGATGAGCAGATGTTGGCAATGACTGGCCAGGGCCCTCTGAGGAGCTGCCACATGCCACATGCTTCCAGAGGTAGAATGACTGTTACCTGGGGAGGGGCACTGGACTTGGATATCGGGATGGGATAGTTCTTACATTAGACAGGTGTAATTAGGGCAGAAGGTAGTCTGTAGTGAGTTAGGAAGGGTCCTTCTAGAAGCTGAGGATAGAGAGAACATCAAAAAGTAGGAGCTGGGGGATACTTTGAGATCAGTTCCTGGGAGTTCCCTGCACTATGCACCAAGGCTTGAGGGGACTCTCACCCATCCCATGAATCCCTGAATTTTTGGATGCGGGGAATTAAAGCTATTAGGAATCAGACCTAGAAGTTGCAAAGCTGAATTTAGAGCTACCAGGACTGAATTAAAATGAAAGGATCTTGGGATCCCCGGGCAGAGCAACTGTAGGGCTCTAGACTGGGTATTTGGACATTTTTTGACTCATGGGCAATAATGCAGTCAGACTTCAAGAAGCTGGGACTCACCCATGCATACCTGAGTCCCAGACCCAGCTGAGCTCCACAACCTCCTCCTCCCCTTGGGAGCCCCTGGCTGGCCCAGCCCACCAGGCCTCTCTTTCCCTGCTGAAGTTGGGTTCCTAAGTACCAGGGTTCTGAGCATCAGGAAGGCTGAGTTGATAAGACAGTGAAGATGAGAGACAAGGTCACTTAGAATCTGGCTGTGGAAGACAGGACAGACCAGTCATGGCTCATGCCCCAGAGTGTCCCTACCTCCACCTTCTCCCCTAGCTCCTGCTCCTGTTGGCCTCAGCCTTGAACCCTGTGCTGGATGCAGAGGACAGGGACAGTGTGTCCTGGAAACAGCCCCCAGTGCCCTGGACTCAGCAGGATGAGGACTTGTGGCTGACAGGAAGCCAGCCTACCAGTCCTCCAAGGCCCTATGGGAGTCTGCGGACTACCAGTATGTGGAACACTTGTGTCTCAAGAGGCTGTTCCTGCTGGGCACCTCCTATGACCTCATCTGGATGTTGGCGGAGCCTCGCACCAGGGGAACAGAACCCTGGCCAGGGCAGCTGAGCCTGAAGCTGACTGATAGCATGGAGTGCCACTGTGGTCAACTGGCCCTGGAGATTTCAGCACTACTGTGGCTGGCCTTGCCTGCTGTGAAGCATGTTAGCAATACTGCAGGGAACTGCAGGAGGTGGTGACGTCTGCTATGCTGCCGGCTGGTAGACCTCACTTCCTACAGCCTCACTTCAGTCTGGGTGGACCTGGGCCCAGTGTTCTGGCCCTGCTGGGTATACCACACCAACTGTAATACATCACCTTTGGTTGCTCTTGGCCCCCAGGCATGACTTGATGGCCTACACTAGACCATGCACATCACACTGGTAGCCTGGTACTGCTGGTTGAGTCCTAGGCTGCTGCAGGGCCACAAACATCTGCTCCAGCAGTGTACGTGGCATCCTGCGCTCTACTCGTGGTGGTGGCCTGCAAGTGTTCCTGTCCTTGATGTAGCTACAGCTTCCTCTTGCCAAGCTGTGTCCCTTCTGGTACTATAGGTTAAAAAGCTAGGATTCCCAGAATCCCAACTTTGAGAACCTGCAAGATCTCTGGTTGTCCATCCCAAGATGTCCAAGCACGGTGAGCGGGAAGTTCAGGGCCATGAGCCTGATTTCCTGTCCTTAGTGAAAAAGGCCCCCTTTTCCTTGGTTCCACTCCAAGCAAACTAAGAAGCTTCCACAACATGCTGAGACTGGACCTGTGCTCAGAACCCAGTCTCTGTCCTCCAGGCTCCCATGGGCATAGGGAGACAGCAAGGATGAGCTGAGAGCACAAAGAGATCCCCTCCTCTTTTCCCACAGTGCCTGCAGCAAGACCAAGGTCAGCAATGTGGAAAGCAGGCACTTACAGTAACGGAGCAGCAAGCTGTAGTGGGGGGAGAAAGGAGGACAGGGCCTTGGCAACAGCAAACCAACCCTTCTGTCCTTGCCCAAGAGCCACTCAAACAACACTGGTCCAAGGCCCCCAGATGGTGGCAATGGCTGGAGCCCGAGTTCGCTGTGCCCCCTGGTGGCTGGCCTTCAGACTACAGACCTTGGAACCAGCAAGCCAGACAGGTGTGGACAGCAACAGGGCAAAGGGCATACATAGGGAATAGGGCTTCCCCAAGGCCAGAGTTTAGGACAAAGAGCTCTAGAACACAGAGTCCCAAATGTTAAGTACCACTCCCCAATCCCAGTGGCAATCCACAATCTTTTCTCTGGGGCCTGAATTCCTTGCCTTGCCTCCCAAACATAGGTCTGGGAAATGTAGGTCTGGACCTCTTCTTACCCAGGCAGTTCTTTGGATAAGACACAAAGGACAAGGTGCTCACCAAGGCTTGATTGGGGGGTGAGGTACAGGAAAGGGTCCACAGGGCTGGTCCTTAGCTGCCCTTGATAGCAATGCAGAACCCAAATGAGCCAAATGGTGGTTCCCAGACACAGGGTCCTGTCTCAACTTGGGGGAGGAGGTCAGTTCTGAGTGAGATCTATAGCCCTCATGCAAGGGCTGCCCTCAGAGCCCCAGCTCTTGTTTGAACCCACAGAGGGCCACAGGACCAGAACTACCCAGAGGGAATAAAGCAGACCAAAGTGTCACAGCCAACTTTCACATTGTTTGGTACCCTCCAGCCACAGCACAGCCCTCTTTTCAACAAGGCCCTAGAATTCTGGGTTGGGTAAGACACTCTAGTCTGGGCTGATCACTGTGGCAGTAGGGGATCCTTGACTCTGTTGGCCTACCCACAGGCAGAGCTCAGGGCAGAACTCCATGAAGTCGCCCCACCTCCACGAAGGCTTCCACACAGCGGTCAATATCCGCCTCGCTGTGTACTGCTGAGATCTGTACTCGGATCCGGGCCTTGCCCTTGGGGACCACAGGGTAGCTGAATCCAACGACAAAGATTCCTGGGAAGACAGCAAGGGCATAGCAGAGTCAGACAGGCTTTGGGGCCATGATGTCTACAGGGCCTCCTTTCTCCAGGCCACAAAGAACAAGGGAGCTATCAAGCTCTTAGACATGGAATCATCTCATAGCTTGGGATTATCAACATTCGGGAGATTGGTTGGTGTAACGGCTGTGTGTGTGTGTGTGTGTGTGTGTGTGAGAGAGAGAGAGAGAGAGAGAGAGAGAGAGCAAGAGAGATACAGGGCCTCCTTTCTCCAGGCCACAAAGAACAAGGGAGCTATCAAGCTCTTAGACATGGAATCATCTCATAGCTTGGGATTATCAACATTCGGGAGATTGGTTGGTGTAACGGCTGTGTGTGTGTGTGTGTGAGAGAGAGAGAGAGAGAGAGAGAGAGAGAGAGAGAGAGAGAACTAGAGAGCATCTGCAGTCTACAGGAGTCCTTTTCTTGTGTGGGGTGTCCAAGATCACCTTACCTCTCTTTAGCATGTCATTTGCCATTTGAGAAGACAACCGGGCATCACCCAGCATCACAGGGCAGATAGGGTGACTGGATCCTGAGACGGTGAAGCCAGCAGCTTCCATCTTACTGCGGAACCTGGGGACACAGCTGGGTGTTACAGGGAGCTGAGGGACATGTAGCAGTCCCACTGGCTCCTGATGAGCAAGTGGCCCAGGATCTATGCTTGCCTTTAAGAGGGAGGAATAAAGACAGAAATAGAGACCTAGAGAACAGGTGGGGCAAGAGGCAGAGGCAAGCAGAACAAAGAGGGGTGGGGAAGGAAGAGTGACAAGAAGGGGCACAGGAGATGGAAGGAGGAGGCTGTGACAGAAAGGAGGGGGTGGGCAAGAGGAGGCAGAAAGGCGTGAGGCTATAATACCCCGCCCTGCCTGGTCTACCCTTGCAGGGAACCATACCGCTGGGTCTTGGCTGCCATAGACTTGATGATGGTGTTGCTCTCCATGAGCAGGTCCAGGGCTTTGGAGGCACAGCCAACAACAGCAGGAGGCAGACTGTTGGAGAAGAGGTAGGGCCTCGAACGCTGTCGTAGCAGGGCTATTAGAGGCCCTGGCCCTGTGGTGTAGCCTCCTAAGAACGGAAGTGGTGAGGAGGAGCTAATCAGGTTCCAGAGTCTACACTAAGCCCTGTCCATCATCTATACCACCCTTTTCTCCACACCCCCATCTGCCCTCTCTACCTTTTCTACACCCCTCAAGACAAGGCCCTGTATGCAGGTAAGGAGATTCCACAGACAGGACTCTGTAAGTACCTGATGCTCCACCTAGTGCCTTCCCCAGGGTGGAGTTGATGATGGTGACCTGGTCCATCACACCCAGCAGCTCATCAGTGCCCCTGTAAGAGAAAGGGCCACTGCTGCCACTGGCCTCCTGAGTGCTATGCTTCATAGGTCAGGCAGGGGGGTAACAGCCTCTTGACTTCCCATCTACCCTCAGAAGCCACCCAGGCCTCAAATGTCATGTGTTCTCACCGTCCTGTAGGCCCCAGAAAGCCGGTGGCATGGCATTCATCCACAAAGACCAGGGCACCATATAGAGCAGCGAGGCGGCAGATCTCTTGTAGAGGTGCGATGTCACCATCCATGGAAAAGACTCCATCGGTAGCCACAAGGCGCAGTCGGTATTTCTGCATGAGTGGTACATGAATGGGTGGCAAGTGGTGGGACCAAACCTCCTGTTCTTTTACTGCCTTGAGGCTGCACCTCAAGCCTTGCCCTTCTCTTCCAAGCTCAGCCACCATTAACTATGGCACTAAGAAGGCCTTCCCATCCTGGCTCAGGTCTCAGAGGGCAGGCTAAAGTGAGCCAGTTCCTAGTCGTACACCCACATACCCTTCTGCCCAAAAGGTGCTTGCTGATCTCAGTTGGCATGTGCTGTGGAATACAGCCATGGACCTGAGGGATGAAGGGTCCAAATCTTGGCTCCCTCAGCCCTTCAGGCTATTTGTGAGTGAGAAGGGCATCCTTCCAAGTCTTACAAGGCAGTGCAGGTCTTGCCCCTGGAGACCCAGAGCCTCACCCCACCTGGGCCTCTTGCAGCTTAGCTTCTAGGTCGGCCATGTCCAGGTGGCGGTAACGGTACTTGTGTGCCTTGCACAGACGGATGCCATCAATGAGGGAGGCATGGTTCAGTTCATCAGACAGGACTGCATCCTCGGGGGTCAACAAAGCCTAGGGGGAAGAGCACCTATCCAACCATCCAGGGGGTTGGTCTCCTTCCCTCATGACTTCCCCAAGGCAAAACTTCACCACCAGCCAGGCAGGGAAGCCAGGTGTCCTCTACCTCCATTTGGGTCCCTAGTGCCCCAGGGCCCTGCTCCAGTAATAAAAGGTGAAAATTTTAGGTTAAGTCCCAGGCCCCTGCCACCCCAACCTTCAAGTTCACAGAGGTTGCTCTCTGGCACTGGCATCCTGTAGGGCTCCTCTGACTGCCCACCTCCAAACCATCCACATCTTCCACATACCTCAAAGAGGCCAGTATTGGCATCAAAACAACTGGGATAGAGGATGGCTTCCTCCCGCTGGTGGAAGCGGGCTATCTTGGCTTCTAGATTCTTATGGATGCTCTACACAAAGTGAGACAGGTAAATATTAGTGCCTGGGGACTTTTGGAGACAAGTGCCAGAGAATTAGAGACTCAGAAGACCACCAACAGATCCAGCCCAGGCCTCAATGGCATCCTTCCTTTGGAATTACACAGGTAACTCGGGGCCTTGGGAATGTGACAGCTGTTCCTGTCCTGCAGACTTCCCTTCCCTAGTGGGTCTTGGGTTTGTAGTGGAGGTCTGTCTAGTGGTGAAATTATGGGTGCTACTAGGGGTGGAAAACATGTGTTCTTCATATCAGACTGAGTCTCTTTGGCTTTTCTACAACAAAGAAGACCATTACTTAAGTCTAAACTTATTTGGGTCCCTACTAAGAGTTGGGAGTTCTTTGGTCTGGCTTGAGGGTTTTGTCAGAAAATACCTGGATGGGAGACAGGGTTTCTGCCTCATGTCTGTTTCCCTCACCTTCAATGAGGACAGGTGATGGTAATCACAGCAGTTAGAGGAGTGTGGATGCTAAAACCAGGCTACATGGGCGCAAGGCCCACCATGAGAAGAAGTGCACTTTGAGTTAAGCAATTAATCTCCCTGGGCTTCAGCGGCCTCATGTCAACATAGATAAGAATAGCCTTGATCACTTGGGAATTAACGAACTGATACTTGTAACTTTCTTATGAGTACTTGGCACAGAGTAAACACCATTTAAGTTTTCCTTCTTGTTTTTGTATACAGGACACATGGAGGGCAGAGGACAACTTTCAGGAGTCCATCCTCTCCTTCCTTCCACTGTGGGTTCTTGGGGATGCACCATCATGCCTGGCTTGGTTCATTTTTTAAAATAGTCCATATAAAGATGAAACTGGTTGACTAATCTCAAGAAGCCCACATTCATGCACTGGATATGTACTGTCATTTTCCTATGTGCTTTTCTCTTCCCTAATGCCCATATGTACACCTAAACTTAAACTAAAACCCCTTCTCATGCCAGCAAGATGGCTCAGCAGGTAAAATAAATAAATAAAAATAAGTCAAACTAATATTTATACTGTGAACCAGGTACTGTTCTAAGCTTTTTTTTTTTTTTTGTCTTTTGGAGACGGGATCTCCTTGTAGCTCCAGCTGGCCTGGAACTTGCTACGTAGACCAGGTTAGCCTTGAACCCACAGAGATCTGCCTCTCTGCCTCCAGAGTGCTAGGATCCAAGGCATGCATCACCATGCCTAGCATTTGTATATGTATTAACTCTTCCACCTATAACACTTCTACTAAGTACTACGATTTCCACTGTATCAATGAAGGGATCAAGACAGGGAGCTAGACCAGGCAGAGTGTGGTGGTGAGCACTTTAAACCTAGCACTTGGGAGGCAGAGGCAGGCAGATCACTGTGAGTTCGAGGCCAGCATGGTCTACATAGCAAGTTCCAGGCCAGCCAGAACTATGTGGTGAGACTGTGTTTCAAAACAACAACAAAAACAAAAAACAGAGAGATTAAGACACTACCTTCAGTGACACAGCCAACAAAGGCATCACTACAGACTAAGCTGAGGTAGACATCTCTAAACCCTCCACATCTCCAGCCCTGCCTTCTTTCCTGGAGCACAACAGATATTCTATTTGGCAGGTGGGGAAATAGTTGCTCAGAATTAAAGTTCCTTATCCCAGGCTTCTCAGCAGAAGCCTGACCACGCACGCAGCTTTGCTACACGGCCAGTCTGGAGCTGACTACCCTGAGACCTGGCTAAACCAGATGGCTGGGATCAGTACCCACCCCTAAACCTACTGTGTACCTGGGTCCCACAGATGATGCGCACAGAGCTGAGGCCAGCTCCAAACTCCTCCAGAGCCTGCACACCTGCCTGGATCACGTCGGGGTGGCTGCTCAGGCCCAGGTAGTTATTGGCACAGAAGTTAAGGATTCCTGAGGTGGAAGAGATTGACAAAGCAGCTGAGCCAAGTAACCTGCAAAGGCCATGACACCAGGCCAGAGAAGTAAACCTGGATTTGCCCTTGAGAGACAACAACCTCAAAGATGATCCAGGATTGGGCCTCCAAGAAAGTTTTGAATCTACTGGCACAGTGCAGGAGGGCAGGAAAAGATTCTCCATTTCCACCCTGTACTTTGGAAGATAAGAAATTGAAAGCCTGAACATGAATCTCGGTCCATCTACAGAAGACCCTTGGCCCTCCTGACAGGTTTCTCCTAGCCCTGAAGACCATCACTAACCCTCAACTTAGTCTTACTTTCCCTGTGGGTAAAAGAAGCCTCAGTTCTCCAGCTCCATGGCCCACGCAGAACTGCATCTCTAACAGGTGCCTTGGTTAGCTCAGTCTGGAATCTTAAAGCTTAAAGTGAATATAGCTGGCCCAAGGACACTGAGGCCTGAGGAAGGGAAAGCTGGTGGCCTGGGACAGGCAAAAACAGGTTAAGAACTTGTCTCCAAATGTCCCACCTCTTGCAGGGTGAGGGGTGCTAGGAATTGAACTCTCGGCCTTATACATGCTGGGCAAGCACTCTGCCACTGACCCCACACCCTCAGACCTCCATCTTTTTTTTTTTTTTGGTCTTTTTGAGACAGGGTCTCCCTGTAGCCCCAGCTACAGTAGTCCTGGAACTCACTATGTAGACCAGGCTGGCCTTAACTCACAGAGATCCGCCTGCCTCTGCCTGGGATTAAAGGCATGTGCCACCATGCCCAGCTTCAGACCTCCATCTTTTGATTGTGTATGTCTGGAATCACCTGGGCCTCTACCTCATAGATTTGAGAGCTATTTGGTCTGGCTGAAGGTTTTGTTAAGGGACAAGAGGTTCATTTCCCCATCCCCTTGAGAAGATAGGTCTTTAAGAATCCCATCAGTTACGAACATGAACCCACTCTGGCTTCCACTGGAAGGGAGTGACCTCCTGAACCCTCCCCTCCATTTACAAAGGAACTCAGCAGCAGCCTGATCCCAGGCTTATTTCCTGGGTAGACAACAGCTTTGGGCCACCTGTTGATAAGCAGTGTCCATTTGGGGCCAGGCACAAAGAGGACACACAGTGACCACTGATAAGGTCAAATGAGAGAGAACTGGCCTAGCCAAGGTATATGGGGACTTCTGCAGCCAACCTAAAATGATTGCTTGCTTAAACTTAAGACTCTCATGCCAGTCAGCTGCTCTTCGAACTCTAATAACTTGTGGTACTGGAGCTACTAGCATGCAGCTAGGTGGGAGTTTGGGGCGCTGAACCGGAGTTTCAGGTTCTTCTTTTCTTGTAAAGGGATTGGTCTCTGGCATTCAGATGTCACGCATCCAGGTGCAGTTTCCTTGAAGTAGGGCATAGGAGCCCTGCACAGCTGGGTGTAGGTCTTTTTCTCCCAGGGTTGGGTCTGGTAGTAGCCCTGCCCTCTGGGCCAAAAAGGTGCTCACAGGTAAAATACCCCTCCGTTGAAGTGAATTTAAACAGGTGGAGTTAACACTGGGAGGTCATAGTGTGTTTAAGATAGACTGGAAGGAGACCAGCTGCTGCGTAGGCACGTGTGGGCCCCCGACCCGCCCTAGTGCCTCCGCTCCTATGCAGATCCAGGAAGGACCCTCGACCACCCAACCATGTCCGCTGCCTCCCAGGAGGGCATGTTACCTCTCGAGACGCCGTCCACGTGGATGTACGTCCCCTGGCGGGACGTGATCACCCGCTCACTCTTCCAGGTGCCAGCTCCGCGCATCCCTTCCAGCTCCCCCTCCAGGATGCCCCGCAGCTGCGCCAGCGCCGAGTTCGCGCGGTGGCCACGGGGGCCCGAGAAGAGCGCGGCGCGACCCACACCAGCCCACATCGCTGCCACCAGCCCAGCGCCTGCCAGCCGGCAGCCTCGCGCTCCCCGTCACGTGAGGTGGGCAGGGCCCCGGCAGCCAGTCAGGGCGAGAGGGGCTCACTTTAAGGGGGAAAGGGAGGCCCAGGAGCTGTGGGCGGGGCCTGCCGGTGTCCTGGAGCTTGATCCGTGGTCCCGACTGGGACGGTCCGCGGAGTTAGTGGAGTCGTGTCACGGCCTCCCCGCCCCCAGTCTGCCCACGCACCCGCCTCTTCACGACCCTCCACGGTGCAGGACCGGCCCGCGTCCGGTCCTTCCAGTTCTGCGGTCTCCAAAGCTCCCCTCATTCTCAGGTGCGAACGTGGCTCCGGGTGTCCCCAGCTGCCCGCTCGACTGCTCCGAACTAGGTCCGCGGAGTTAGCGGAGTCGTGTCATGGCCTCCCCGCCCCCAGTCTGCCCACGCACCTGCCTCTTCACGACCCTCCACGGTGCAGGACCGGCCCGCGTCCGGTCCTTCCAGTTCTGCGGTCTCCAAAGCTCCCCTCATTCTCAGGTGCGAACGTGGCTCCGGGTGTCCCCAGCTGCCCGCTCGACTGCTCCGAACTCCAGTTTGGAGTGAGGAAAAATACACCGCTCACGTTTTTTCCTTTTCCAATTTTATTTTAAAGTTTTAAAATTATAACCACAGCAAATTTTTTCCCGGCACTAACACTAGTTTAAACGCGGGAGGGGGGGGGACGGCGAGTGCCCGAGTTTCCTATTTTATTAAAAATAACAGAAAGACAACTGTACAGGTTTTTTTCTCCCAGCTCCCGATGTGAGACATTAAGTACTACTCCTAGATACGAATATATACATATACACATGCTCTCTAAAGCTACGTAGCAAATTCAAATCAACTGCAGAATGTCTTACGGTCCACTCCCTCCCACTCCCCCCTCCCCTCCCACTTAGAAAAGACTCAAAAGAGGTTGGGGGGGCTTTTAAGTGGCAGCCAGAACTGAAGCGGGACCAAGCAAAAACCATTATCTTACACAGGAAAAAACCAAAGTCTTCCCTAGGACACAATCCATCAATCGTGTGGAAAAATCCAAGTTTCCATAGGGCACACTGAGGCACTTGGCTGACTCCCCTCCCCAAGTTTCCACTCCCATTTAACAAGAAACTGCAGAAACCACAAAGTCCCTTCCCAATAGCTAGTTCCCCACTGTGAGAAGCTAGGGCTTCTTGAACCAGCTGTTACTGGGACTCCCCCCCTTCTCTTCAAGACAATAGGGGGGCACAAGTGCAGACTAAAGCAGCCCCAAAGCCCCCACTGAGGGCAGCCTAGGGAGGGTTTTTCCAACGCCCCTCCTTTGACCAGCTAGGTAGGATGCCACCCTCTACTCCCCACAGGTTTCAAAACTCCCATAAAGGGTACCCAACTTAAAGCCTTAAGAGATCTTCCCACAAACCTCAGCTCCCTCATCTAGCCAGAACTGCTTTGCTAGTTGTGTCTACCTTCGGAGTAAACAAACCACCTAACAAAACACACAACCTCCCATTCCTAACCCCCTAAGAAGGTGAACAGCAAATCAAGAAAGCGAAATACAAGTACATCCTCATCATCACAAAGATGAGATCTGTTGTCCTTGCACAATGGCTAAGGAAAAAGGAATTATTCCACAATGTCAGTCTGAGGAATCCAAACTCTGGCCCTTACAAAGTCAGAAGAGAATGGGCAAAAGGTTGCAGGTAAGTTCTAGAGAGAAAAGTATTTACAGAAAACAGGAGGAAGGAAAGTCCACAAGCACGGGCTTGTCACTTCTTTCCGGCCCTCTTGGCACTGGACTTGACTTTGGGCTTCACGGGTCTGGCCTTCTTGGGCTTCGATGCCTTGACCGGCTTGGCTTTGACAACCTTGGGCTTTTTGGCTTTCTTGGGTGTGGCAGCCGGCTTCTTCTTGGCCTTCTTGACTGGGGTGGCTTTGGGTTTCTTGCTTGGGGCTTTGGAAGCTGCCTTCTTGGGCTTGGCTGCCTTCTTTGGAGTGGCCACTTTCTTGACTTCCTTCTTGGTCTTCTTGAAAGCCACCGATCTCTTGGGCTCATCACCCTTGGCCAGCCGGAAGGACCCCGAGGCACCGACCCCTTTGGTTTGCTTGAGGACACCGGTGGTCACCAGGCGCTTGATGGACAACTTGATCTGGGAGTCCGCGTTCTCACCCACCTTGTAGTGGCTCTTGATGTACTTTTGGATGGACTGGCGAGAGGAGCCTGCCCGGTTCTTCTCCGCCTGGATGGCAGCCACGATCATGTCTGAGTATTTGGGGTGGTCTGTGGACTTCTTGGAGGCCTTAGCCCGCTTGGGCTTCGCCGCAGGGGTGGACGTGGAGTTCTCGGTCATGGTAGCCAGCCTGCTCCTGCAGTTGAAGGAGGCTTCCGGAGGGCCAGCCCTCGCAGGGGGCTGAGCAGAAGCTGACCCGGGGTCTGCCCTCCCGCCCGACCACCGGCCAGGCAAAGGGGCGGCTGTCGGGGGCGCGGGGGCGCAGGGGCGCGTCGCTCCCAGTCCTCCCCGGCGCGGGTCGCCTCGGCGTGGCCCAGCCCCCGTCGATGCTGCTCGGTCTCAGCGCCTGGCTCTGCCTCCGCCTCCGCCTCCTCGGCCTCCCTTTTCCCAGCTCTGCATCTGGCGCTCGGGCGGTGCATCCGGGTATTTAGCAGCGGCGGGCGGACCGCGGTGAGGACAGGGCTGCTGGCTGCCTGCTCCCGGCCCGGAATGGCGCCGCGCCGCCGCCATCTGTGTTTCTTCCGCGGAGCAAATCCGACCTTTCCCCTCGGCCGCGGCCTTCTCGCTGCCCGCCGCCGGCCGGGGTCGCTGCCCGGCTCCCTGGGCTTCCCGGCTGGGGATCCCGCCGGCCCGGCCGTCGCCCCCCGCGCCCGCCATGCGCCCCAAACGGCGCGGAGGAGCGCTTGGGCGCCGACACATTTCCCCTTTGAGGGGCCCTGGCTCTGCGGGGCCGGGGCACCTCGGGGCTTGAAACCCCCCGTCGCAAAGCTCCCCCCTGGGGCTACCAGGGACCCCACTCCCGGCCGGCTGCGGGGCCCCTCAACCTGGCGGAGCGGCAGAGAAGCGACCCCAACTAACACACGCGGCCCCGAGCTGGGCGACTCCCAGCCGGGCCGAGTCGGGACGGGGGGGAGGGGTCGCTCCCCCAGGGTCCAGTCACCTCTCGGGGGTCACCGGGCCATCGGCCCCTCAGCACCCTTACCCCCTCTCTGCCCGTTGGGCCCCCAAGGAAACTTTCCCTGGAAGAGTTGGAAGGGCACTTTCAAACTTTGTCCCTTCCCCCTCTTCTGTCACCTCTCCCCCCAGCGCACCCCCAGACCTCTGGGTGGAGAGTCCCCTCTGGGGCAGAGCCCCCAAGGCTTCCTGGGTCCCCTGGGAGATGGGGATAGGCCTCCTGCGTGGTCTGTACTCCTCCAAGACCCCCACATCTCCCATATATCCGAACCCAAGAGTTCATTTACATGTCTCCATGATCTTGTGAGTTTGGGGCTGTGCAAGGCAGGATCTGCAGCCTCCCGGGCCTTGAGGCCCATCCTGGGGGTCCAGCCCCCCTTTCTACGATCCCTTGGAGGTGGGGTGTGCCTGGTTGGGGGCATTCCACAACCAAGGAGCTGCCCCAGGGGCACTAAAGGTCCTGGGGGCCCTGGGAGCAGGAGAGGCCCTGCGTGCGTTAGAATTGGAAAAATGGGGCGCTGGGGAAAAACTGAAGAGGTCCTCGTTTCTATGATCGAGACTTAAGTTCAGGAAGTGTGCAGTGGTTCCAGGAGCCGTGGTCCAGACCACCGCCATTTTCCTGGGAGGATGCCATGCCTTTGTTAAACTGTATCCATCTTTCTTGGGCTGCTTCGCGGTAGAGACGAAGAGAGAGTAAGGGGCGCCACGGTGTGTGATGCGTTCTGGAGCTGTAGGGAGTCCAAGGACCCGAGGGGCTCCGAGACCTGCAGAAGAGCCCAGGACCTCTGCTGAAGCCGACCTCCTACTCACATGCCAGCTCCGCTTGCTTGGCAGAGGCCCTGGTCCAGGGTTCGGGTAGTCTTGCCCCCTGAGGCTCTCCCTGGACCAACCCAGTTTTATTTCCTTAACAAAAAGGGAAGCGGCTGTTTAATTAAAGAGTAACCTGGCAGGGGTGGGGGTGGGCTGTGGGTTGTAACTGATCAAGATGAACAAACCTTGGATCAGGCTGGGAGCTAGTTGCAGACCTAAAGTGTAAGGCGGGGAGGGAGCAGCTTAGATGGTAGGGTGTCTTCTTGGGGGACGTGGGGGACTACAGCATCTGGGAGTCTCTGAGGTTGGGGTAAATTTGTGAGTGTCAGCCCCCTCCCACCACGGCTTCATAATAATTGGAGGAGGAGAGGTGTGGAACCTAGACCGGGAGTCGCAAATCTCCCCCAGCTTATCTAGGTGACACAGGCAGGGAAGGGACAGCTGTGAAGGGCCAGTTTTGTTCAAAAGGTCGAGGTTCCTTTTCGGATGATGTCAGTGACCCTCAAGTTTTCTGATCTGAAAACACATTGTGGTGGGTTTTCTTTGGAAAACAATTCTCCGGATTCCTACTAAGATCTATACGGAGAAACACCACCCATGCATCTGAGAAACAGTTTCGCCCGGCACCCCACCCCCCCGAGAC